ATTCTGGAAAGGGTTCTGGAAACCTTCCCTGAACTAGTATTCATCCAACATGGCTCAGCACCAGGCAGGCTAGGACCACTCCACGGGGACTGGAGGGAGCTGGAAGGGGCGTCAGCTGCAGGTAACTCCTGCTGGCCCCTCTCTCTGAGTCCATGTGGCTGGCCCCACAGGGTGGTGGATTTTTTTTTCTCTACAGCCCCCAAAGCTAGATCTGCCCTGGGTCAAAACAGTTTTTACCACGGAGAAGTGAGATTCAAACTTAGAGTAAGGAGTTGGCACTACCTCTGTGGGTACGGATGCTGAGAACTCGGAGCTTCTAAATGATGCTGTGGTATAGTTAACTGATAAAACCTAGTAGACTGTGATTTACGTAGAAAAGCCTTCCTAGGTAGACTCCTGTCCAGTTACAAAAGGAAACTTTGTATAACCCACTTAGATATGACCGTATATGAGACGAAGATAAGCAATATGTAAAATTATAATAAAGATGAGGGCCAGAATCCATGGCGGAACCCGGATTTTACTGTGTAACTATTTCTGCATCTTCTCTGCTAGGAAATGTTAAAGCTGTCTTAAGTCCGTTTCACAAACCACTCAAGATTCTGCTGACTGAGAACCTTGTTTTGACTCAGTGGATGGTTGGTTTTCCAAGCAGCAAATTGGAAATGGGATTTTCAGAAGGCAGGATTTAAAGAGAAAGCCAGGTTAGTTTGCCGGCTTCAAGGATCAAAACTAAAACCGTTTGCAGCCAAGCCTCTTCTGGTGCTGTGTCTGGGCTCCAGGATAAAATTCCCATTCCACCCTGAATGTAGCTTTTGGATGTTGACATTAACTTAAAGAAACTCACTAATTCACTTTTTTGAACTTTTACTCTCCATAATTATCCCTTCTGAAAACTGAAGCTTGGGGAGGGAGGGGGGACAGAAAGTGAACCGGGTTTCAACTAATTTGGTATAGAAGATAACATTATTTTACGTAGTGGTCTTCAAAAGCAGTTGAAGTTGGAAACCCCATGTATTCAGATTAGGACACACGGACATGTGTAACTGCAGCCTGCCATGATTCCAACTCCAAATTGCTCCCCCAAAACCCCACTCCTCGTGCACAATATTTTAAAAGAAAAGGCTAAACTGAATTAAGTCAGTCAACTCTGAAACCACCACCGCGTGAGGCACTTCAACCGAGGCTCTTGGTACGTGGCACCTAACTTTTCTTGTATTTGGGTTTTTAAATCCCAGCACCGGCAGAACACAACAGCTTTGCGTTTAGCAAGGTCTGGGAGAAGCCTTGCATAAACGTCTGCTTTGGGAAGGTTCCGGGTGCCCGTAAACGAACGCAAGACCGCGACGATAATAGCAACCCCAAACAAACGGTGTTTTAAAGTCATTTTACAGTGTTTTTGTAGTCCTAGAAGGAGAGGAGGCGACGACAGACGGTGAATCGGTTGACATACCGAGCCGGGCTATTCTACGAAGACAGCAACTACACGGGCATATCGGAGAGGAGGGACCCGTTTGTAGAGCACAGGACTTCTAAGTAAAGGTCTAGGCTTGGTAAACAAACAAAAGCCCCGGCAACTGTCAGCTGTTTCAGGACCGGTGGCGTCTCCCCAAAGCCCTCCTCACACACCTGGGGAACCCTCAATTAACCCAGCAGACCGGCGTGTCTCCACGCAAGTTTCAGGACACTCGAAATCCCAATGGTCCCCCATCGCACTTTCCCTCCTCGCGGTGGGCCGTGGGGCGGACGGCTTTGCTGAGCGGGCCTACAGAGAGCCTCGGTTGACCCGGGGTGGGGCACTTGTCCGCAGAGCCTCAGGCCGACTCTCTCTGGGGCTCGCATGCTCCCACCCATCCTACCTTGAGGAGGTATTTGTCCACGATCTCCAGGCCGCAGCTGCTGCACACATACTTGCCGGGCGGGCAGACGGAGCCCGAGGCCATGGACTGGGGCGAGGACGACGGGGAAAGCGGGGCCGAGGAGGAGCAGGAGTCCTCGTCCCCGGCGCCTTCAGGATTCACCTGCAGGAACAGCCGAGCATTGGCCGCAGACCCCTCCTCCCCTTCCACGTCCCGCCAACCCACGGAGCGGGGGGAGTTACCCCACGGGCTGTCCTCCAACCCCCGCCAGAGTTGTCCCCATCCTGTCCTTGGGGTTCCCAGATCCGCAAGAAACCCTGGAGCCCCGCCGCCCCGCTCGCCCCGCCACCCTGCTACCCCGCTCGCCCCGCGCGCCCCGCCACCCCGCGCGCCCTGTCCCGCCCAAGGAGCTTGGGGGTCGCCGGCAGGCGGTCGCCGCACTCACCAGTCCTTCCTCCCCGGCGCCTTTGCGGGTCCTCCCGGCCGCCAGGGCTGCAGGCCTCCCGCACTCCTCCGACATGAGCCCCGGGCACTGCGCAGCGAGAGCGGGGAAGGCAGGGGGGAGACACGGGTCAGGAGCCGCCGGTAGCGGTGGCGGCGGCGGCGAGCACGCGGCGCCCCGCAGCCTCGGCCCCGCCGGGCTCTTGAAGGCCCCTTGCACGAGGGCGGCGCGTGCAACCGCGGGCACCTGAGCCCCGGCGCAGCTGGCGGGCCCAGCGCGCAGCCTCCCTGGGCCGCCGCCGCCGCCGCCGCCGCCAGCGGGCGACTCGAGGACTGCGGGGCCGTGGCTCGGAGCTCGGAGGGGGGGTGGGGTCCCCCACGCTCGCCCCCCGGCACGCCGGCTCCCCGCCCCCCCTCCCCCGCCGGGGGTACCCAGCTAATAACCGGCCTCCGCGCACAAAGCGATGGCTTTCTAGGCGTCAATCACCCGGGAGTGGGGAACACCCGGCTAACGGGGGGCGCGGGGCGGGGTGTGTGTGTGGGGGAGAGAGAGGTGGAGTGACAGAGAAGAAAAAAATGACTGAAGAGGGGAGTGGGGAGAAAAAAAAACTTGATTTCTTTAATAACCTCAATTAAAAGAGCAAGACACACACACACATATATTTTTTTTTCTAAAATGGGGAAGGGGGGTGGCTTTTGTGAATAGGATAGCCCAGAAAGGTGAAGAGGTTTTAATCGGATACTTGAAAGCTAATTACAGTGGGATTTAAGAAGCCTGGTGTTTGTTCCGACAATTTGAATGAAAATGCTTCAGACTAAAGGGAGCCAGCAGCTCTTTGGTAAACTTGAGGCAATTAGAACCGTAAAGCGATTTACACTCGTTTCTCTAAGGTGTGAATTGCCACTTAGTGCCCAGTAAGTCAACATTTTAGCTACTAAAGGATTATTTTTAACCAGTGCAAAAAAAAAAAAAAGCGGATCGAATAATGGGAATATCCAGCTGAATTTAATTTGTCCCATTAGAAAAAAAAACCCTCACCCAACGCGGGTCCGCGTGTTTTAGAGCACACACAGGCGACGCGTCGCTCAAGTGTTCCCCAAGCACTTTCAGTTTTGTTCTACACACGAACGAGGTCTCTTAGAGAAGTCTAGCCCAGCGGCTCACACCGGCTGCATTTCTGTCTCTTTGTCTCCTTTTCCTCTCTCTCTCTCTCTCTCTCTCCTCTCTCTCTGAGAGCCCCAGGTGAGCCCGTGGCCGCTCGCACGCACGGGTCTCTCCCCCGCGCAGCTGCTGCTCCCGGGCCGCGTCCACGCGGACACAAAAGCATCCAGGCAGAAGAAACTCTACCCGCCACTTCCCACCCCTTCCCGGGCAAACATGAAGCCACGGGTGCCCCTACCCGCGTACTGCTGGGACCCCCAGTCCGTAACCGGCTCCAGCTTATTCAAACCCCCACATGTCTCGCCTCTGGAGAGAGGCGACAGCTTTCCCGGCTCCCCCGTTAGGCTCGCCTCCTGCTGCGGGGTTTGCCTCTTGGGTGTGTTTCCAATGAAAGCATTTTTGTTTGTTTGTTTGGTTGGTTGTTTTTTTTTTTGTTGTTGTTGTTGTTTTTGTTTTTTCCTGACCCTTCCTAAGAGCGGGCAGATTCTAGAGGACCAAATCCTCAAGTCTGTCGCCGTGGGTCCCCCCCAGACACTACAGGCAAGAACCAGCGCTCAGCGGAGCGCAGCGATTGGTATCGGGTGCCCGTCGCCAAACGCCCCCACCTCACCCCACCCCACCGCTGTCCCAGGCCGCCGGGAACAGCAAGTTAAACGGAATAAAAAGCGGGACTCACATAGCCCCGAGAGCACCTTAGGCTCCAGCAGGCTTCGTCTCCCAAATCAGAGTCTCCACGCCTCGGCTTAAGTGAGCCGCCGGCGGGGAGGGGACGCAGTGATTACTACCTAACGCTACATAGTAATAATAATAATAATGATAATAATAATAATAATAATAATTGTCCAGGTCTGGAGATGAGGCAGTGGCAGGTAGTTTTGGCGAACCTCTCGGAGAGGAGCCTAGCAAACTCTCTTTTCCTTTCTCCAGGGCACCGCTCTCCCACGGACCCCGCCGGGGGCGTCGGCGGCTCGCTCACCTTCTCGCGGGGAACCGCCAGCTCCGGCACGTCCTTCCCCTCCAGTTTACACACAAACATCTGATCGCTCTTCCAATACATGGCCCCCGCAGGCAGGCGTTGTGGCTTGTCACATACCAGCTCCAGAGGGTCAGGGGCCGTGGGTGTCTGCGGCGCCCCCCGCCCCCGCCCCAAAGCGCCGCGGAGGAGAGCTACCACGCAGGGCTGCGATGCCACAAGTGCGTGCGTGCGTGCCTGCGTGCGTGCCTCTGGGTCTCCCGGTCCCAAAGAGGCCGCAGTGGCCGTAGTAGGCGCTCTGGGAGGGACCCCCGCTCTCCTTAGATTCCTCCCTGGGCCGCACTGAGGTCTGTCCCTCCAGGAAGAGTGGGAAGAAGTCGTGTTTTCCAGAGGGTGGAACCTCGCAGGAGGAGGGTGTGTGTGTGTTGGGGGGGGGAGTCTTTTCCTGGAGGGACAGCCTCACCTCCTAGCGGAAAAAAAACCCGCCTTCTCTACACGCTGAGATCTTTATCTGCTCCAGACAACTTACTCCAAGTTCAGGGCTAAAGGCGGGGGGGGAGTGGGCATCCACTTGACTTCTTTTTTTTTTCCTTTTTCTTTGTTTTTTCCTTTTTCTTCTTCTCTCTCTTTTAGAATCTGCGTCCCGCGTCTCATTTGTTTTACATTCTCGCTCCCCAGCCAAAACCTAAACAAAGATTCAGGTTACATTTCTTTCAGCTGCGCGCGCGCACGCACGGGCGGGAAGGGAAGCGGAGGTCTCCTGGGTCCCCAAAGCAGTTTAGTTCTCCCGAAGTGCGTGCATCGGTGGTTCTATCTATCATCATTTGCGGGAAAGTTTTCCCTTTTAGGACAAAGAAGGGGCGTCTGAGCGACTAGATCTGATTTGCGACTAGATTCGGAATCAAGGATACAAGAAAGACGAAAAGTATGTTGCTCGCGATCGTTGCTTTTATTTGATTCTAGACACACACACAAAATTTCTTCCATAGGTGGAGGCGGCCGGTGCCGCTGTGCATTCCGTGCTGGAGTGTGCGCGCCTGCGCCTGTGCCTCTACGTAGGGGGTAGGTAGGGTGGAAAAGTGCTGGAGCCTTTCGTTGGCTTGCTTGATTTGCCGTTATCTCCTTATAAAGTCTCACTTCGTTTTAAAGAAGATGAATTTTCAAGAAGTGTTTTAGAAAATGACTTTCATTTCCCATTTGTCCTTCTCGTAGATAAACGAAAGCGAAACATTTGGAACTTAGGCAGTATCAAGACATCTTGGAGTCTTTATTTTATCGAAAGCCTTACAACCGGGCTTTCTTACTTCAGTTAGACAGAAATGTGTGCAATAAAAAAAAGACCACCCGGACACGAAATCTTATTATTCCCTTGTCCTGTTTGTGCGGAAGACGAAGATGAGAGACTTTGCCCAGATCTGCTGCCAGCAGCTAGCCTTGGGGCGAGCAGTGGAAGGGTGAACAGGCTTTCTCCGGGTTGAGTGAGCCCGGGCTGAGTGAGGGCTGCGACCCTGGGTTTTCCTTGACTGCCCTCTTTCCTCCTTAGACACTTTCTAGACATACACCACCCCTGATTTCCCTTTCAGTCGTTGTGCACATATTCATATTAGCGTCCTCCAGCCGGTCACCATCAGGAGACACCCTTTCAATGAATGTAGTGCGGAATAAGAGGGACCCAAGATTTAAATGTGGCCTATATTCTGGTGGCACACTGAAGAGATTCGGGTTTGGACTGACTCCCAGAAAAAAGCTAAAATGTGTTTTTTGTTTTGTTTTTCTTTTCCCGTCGAAGCAAAAATCAGGGTTGGGTGAGGGAATCCACATAATAATGTATTTCCCACAAGATGCTGCTCGGAGAGGATCCTCCGGAATGTTAACAGCCTGGTGCGGGGAGGAATTAAAACTAGAACCCAGCTTGCAGATTTCCTTACAGTCCTTTGTGCTAAGGTTTGCAACGTGGATCCGTCGTTGCCTTCGCCTGCTAGCGAGACCGGCCTGAGCGGGTCATCCGGAGAGCCCTGTGCGCCAGAGCTCTTTGGGGGATGTGGGGAGGGGCGCCGGCGAGTACACGGCTTTTCCACCCACCCTCTCCTAATCAGGCGGCTCTCAATCAGGTTTTCAACACACTAATCTTGATCTAAGAGCTCCCATCTCTGCATAAGTGGAGTAAATGATCCGTTTTTAGAGGCTTCCTGGCTCAGAGAAGGAGGACGACGTCAGACCGGGGCTGAAGATCTAAACGGCTGGTCTGCGTCCACCCTGCTCCTGCGCCCGGGCGGGACTCCGACCTCACCGACCGCGTCATTGCTTGTGTCCAGCGCGCTCCCGGGGCTATCCCGCGGTAAGTGCGTTTCCCCGGTGGAAAGTGCATTACTGTTCTGGGGACTTGATTTGGGGGTATGAGCTGAAGATGGGCGGAGCGGAAAGCAAAGGCTGGCTGGGCTTCCCGGAGGGTCCGGGGTCTAATGACCTTCTGACCCTGCTTACCTTTAAAAAAAAGTTTTGCTTCTGCTTGCCCGCAGGCAAACTGGAGCTCGTTGCTCCTCCTCGAGGAAGCGAAGAAAACGTTTGCCCTCTGTTCTTCCAACGTTAAGTGTTTGAGATACAATTCACAAAACTTTTTTTCTTTTAAAAAAGAAAAATCATGAGGCTTTTTAGCCCCAACTCGAATTGAGACCAGTTCTGAACAAAACACGGTTTAAAAAAAAGCATATATGTCATCTTGCTTGTCTTTAGGTGGGAAGATAAATCGGCCGTGCCTTGTTGGTGCCTTCCTATTGGACTGAAATTTGTAGAAGTCAGCGCTCATCAGATGCAAATCAGAAGCTGAAGGCCAGCCTAAGGGGTCTACCAACCCCCTCAACCCCCTGGCTCTGTCCACGGAATGAATGGAGTAGGGAAGAGAATCGGAGAGAACTCCAAAGACATCTGGTCCCGGGCTGTTTTGGATCGCACACAAGTTCGGAGGCACCAAGGATGCCCGGCTAAAAACCGAGGGGTGCAGGAAGGGGTTTGGATCACTTTGAGCCAGGCCTTGGTCCTGGTCTGGAGAAAGAGATAACCCCCATGGCTTCCACCTTGGCGAAGAGTTGCTGATTGGGAAGCAGTGAGCAGCTGCGAAATTTGTGGTCTTCTAATGACCCACCTCCTCGGCCATTCCGATCAGAGGCATAAAACTGATATTTTCACACTTGGCTCGCACGGCAGGAGCCGTTTATAAACTATCCTGCATCCTCGGAATAAAAAAAAAAAAGAAAAGAAAAAAAAGGGGGGACTGCGTTGACAGAGGTTTCTGGAGTTCGGCATTTAAAAGTTATAGATCCAAATTAGAAAATTATCACTTTAAGTAGAGAAAGTCCCCTCCAAGTTAACTATTGAATTCTGGGCGTGCGTCTGAGCTCCTGGTGCTAACTCTACCTTTGAAGGGACTTACCCTTTCTAAAGCTGTCTGCCTCTGAGGCTGTGGTCCTCCAGATGGTTGGCAGGGCTATTCTGAGTCATGTCTACAAAGCCCTGGGCCAGACAGAGCTAGGATCTGGGGGAAAACCTGGGCGATGTAGCCTCAGTGGCCTGAGCTTGGCGGCGCAGGGCTTTCTCCAGCCCAGGAACCGCACCAGGGCGCAGTAGGCCCAAGGACGAGGCAGGGGAATGTGTGACCTTGTGCCAATGTCCCTGGAGTGAACTTTGGGCTCTGATCGCCCTGAAACTGCATGTGTGACACTTGGCTGTTGGCGGGTGTCTTTGGATAGTTGCCCACCTAGTTTATTGTGCTTAGGAATCTGGAAAGTAAATGATGGAGAAAGAGTATCCAGAGGTACTTGGTGCTAAAAGCGTCAGGCTGGGAACCCGCCCGTGTCCCCATTAAGTGCTGAAGATTCTGAGAGTGGCTCACCTTCCATGGGGCCCAGAAGACTCTTAAAAAAAAAAGACTTCCTCACCCACATCGTCCAGGGTGCCTGCCGGGGTCTGAGATCTACTGCTAACCGAGGCTGAGCCATGGAGTAGAGGAGGGTGATGTTCTTGCTAGACTTCCCCACGGACACTCGGGACACCCCGGTGTGCAGACCAGCGCCTTTAGAGTCCTGGGCTTGTGCCTCCATGTCTCAATGAATACACACTGGTGACACGCAGAGGGACAGCTAGGTTCTGCTTAACCAGAGCCTGCACGAGTGCATTAGGTCTTGTTAGAGCATCAGGAAACCCGGCCTGCTAACGGACAGAGAAATGAAGCCAGAGAAAAGAACTCACTCGGGGCCACGAGGAAATTAGGGGAGGGGCAGCCTGGAAGGCTCCTGGGTTAAACGTTAGCGCGCAACTCCATTAACGCGTTGTGACATTCACAAGCCCACAATCTCTCTTTAAGCACGCCTGTGGTTTGGGGCCGCGGGTGTTCTGTGCCTTTTGTCGTGACCAATAAAGCAGCGGGAACCACAGGAACTTGACTATAGAATCCTGCCTGCAAACCCCTAAAGTGCAAGGTGTAGGGGGAACCTGAGAAAAATCCACCCTCCTCTCCCCTTTCTTTCAGGTTCCAGGCACACCCCCTCTGCCAGGAGATCCCGCCACGGAGCTCCTTCTTCTGGGAGGGGTGGAGACCTAATCCGGGAGCTGACTCCCCTCACCCCACTCCTATTCCCACTCGTGTCATATCACCCCCCCCCCCCGAGGCCGTCCCTCGCGGTTCTATAATTGGAATTAAACCCCAGCCAGAGTGGCAGAAAAGCCATGCTCGGTCGGTCTGAATGCAAAACCCCGGGTGCCCACGGAGTTTCTCTGGCCAAGAGTGGGGAGTCAAGGTATCGCGAGAACTTCTGGTTCGCAGAATTTGATAAAAGTTTGCTAAGGGAACTCGCTCTAGTGGTTAGCCCTTGGGAGAGCCCTGCAAGCCGCCCACACACACAGCTTTGGTGTCCACAGGCTTGTGCCTTTCATTCCCTGTCTGAATGGAACTTGTAAAATGCTTTCGTTTGCCTTGAACGTCTGCAGAAAAGTTCTAACCGATGTTTTTAAAATTTAAGTAACTCTGTATGAGGATTTCAACCACAGGAGACTTGGTTCTTGTAACCAAGGAATGCTCTCCTCCAGTTTCCTCTCTTCCTTTCTTCTTTCTCCCCTCTTGCCTTCCTGGGGCCGGGAGTGGGGGGGATTTATCATCCACGGGATGGAGAGCATGGTCACTAAGAAGTTGTCATATGAGTAGAGATCATGCTTGGATAAGTGTTCACCCACGCAGTGGGTCCTGGGGGTGGGGTGCCGTTTTTGCCCTCTCCTAATTCTACCCCGTTTCCCTGGAGAGGTCTAGGAGGAGAGGCATGACCAAAGCTTTGTTCCAAGAGACAGAACGGGCCAGGTTCTCTGTCCAGGTTCTCTGACAGGATCCTCTGCCTGAAGCAGATGTGCCTCCATGAACTTCACAGACTCCAGGAGAGAATGGTCATCCTGGAGCCCCTTCTACTGGCCTGGAGTTTTAACCATACCCTCCCCCCCGCCCCCCATCATTGCAACTTTCTTGGCCCGCTCTGTTCTCCCTGGTTTATTTCAAGGCTAACCGTGTGCACTTTAAAAGTAGGCACCTGGGTTTCCCTGACTCTGTGCTAGCATCTGCGTATTGTGAGCATGGCGGTAGATATTGCTGGCCCCACCAGTGCTCTGAGGCAATTCCTATTTTAACTTGCCCAGCAATACTATCTCCACATTTGAATCCGGACATACAATGTGGAAGCTGCATTCTGAGTCTTTTAGCCATGTGTCTCCTTTGGGTGAGTTAAGAAGGGACACTTTTGGTAAATGGTTTCAGAACAGGACTCTTTCAGAGTTCATAAGACTTGGTTGTGACCTATCAACCCAACCCTTGTCTCCTGGGACTTCTGTGTGCCTCTGTACCCCCTAGGTACACAGAGGTTTCAGGTATCCACTGTCGTGGAATGGTTTGGAGTGTCAAATAAAAAAGCCACAAGAGGAGAAAAAGGAGTCAGTTCTTAAGCCCACAGTGAAGTTTGTGTCTGTTCCCTTACAGTGGACATTACTGTGACAAGTGGATTCATCCTGGATGAATCAAGCTGTGACCGGATCACTGTGTTGACAGTGGTACAGAGGGCTTACCCCTTCTATAATTTCCGTTTTGAATTTGGCCACAATTCTTTCTAACTATAAAGTCTGAAGAGGTTACCATGCCTGGCTCTGCCTATGCAAAACCAGGACATCTTACTCTCTGCCACCTGTGGGAAAGTCTTGAGAAATAGTTTCCTAACACAAACGGGGGATTCAGGATGACCCCGGCAGGCATTCTGAAAGCTCCATAGAGACAGGAGCTGTGTGGTCTTCTGGTTTTCTGAAACCCAGTTTAGTGCCTGGCACTGGGCAGTAAAAGCTCTGGCCAACAGCAAGTTCATAGCCCTCTCTGCCTGCTGCATTCAGTGCTTCCTCCATTGCTCAGCGACTTTTCTTTTTAAGGACTGCATTTGATTTTAATCCTGTGAAGAACGTTAGCCAGGAAGGGAGTGGGCAATCTGACAAATAATTGAGGGAACTTGGGATCCATTCTTCATTTATAATGAGGACACTTCTAGTCTCCGTGTTCAATGGAACTGGGCACCTGCTTTTACTTCCAGAGAGGTGACAGAAGGAGTAGCTTCTGAACTTGGGGATACTAGAGTGTATCATTGTAGGGATACTAGGGTGTATCATTGTGGAGACAACTAGTCAGGGATACTACAATGTATCACTGTAGGGACATTCAGGGATACTACAATGTATCATTGTGGGAACACTCAGGGATACTAGAATGTGTCATTGTGGGGACACCTTGGACAGAGAATATGTATGGGATAAGCCTCTTTGGTCTCTGTGCACACAGAAATGCTATGATTTTATGGATGCTGACACAGGTTTTGCTCCAGGAAAAGAAGGGGCCTAGAATAGCTAGAGAAGAGTGGAACTAAGGTCACTGGGAGCCAGGTGCTGTTGCTATGACATCTAACCCCAGACCCATCCCACCTCCACCCTGGATGTCCAGAACTCCCCAGGAACCCTGATGTCTGGGATTCCAAGTCTTGGAAAGAGCTGTAATGAGGATACCAGTCCTGATGGTGATTAAATCACCCTCTCTCTCTCTCTCTCTCTCTCTCTCTCTCTCTCTCTCTCTCTCTCTCCTCTCTCCCTCTCTCTCTCTCTCTGTGTGTGTGTGAGTAAGAGAGAGAGAGAGAGACACCTTATCCTGAATTCTTGAGTATTTACAGGCTTCTGTAAATACAAAACGCAACTTTTAGAGTGATCAAGCTCATGAATTTCTGTCAAAATGTAAGCTCTCTTTTCAGGAGGGACACCAACCGAGTCCCATGCCCCCAAAGAGTGTCTCGGGGTGTCAGTGAGGAAAGACACTCAAAGTTCCACCTCCGGAGCCTTCATGTGGGAGGGAAGACTCGATTCCTTGAAGTTGTCTTTTGACCTGCACACAGTAGCAATGGCACCTGCCTGTTGGGAGATACTATTCTGTAAACATGTGTCTGATTGATTTGAATAAAGCGCTGGTGGCCAATAGGGAAGCAATCCTCCTAGGTCAAGGAGGATTCTGGGAAAGAGAGACTCAGGGAGACACGATGTAGGCCTCCAGAGGAGTAAGAGGTCTGGACCCTTTTCTCCGGTAAGAGAAATACTTAGATTAGCAATTATGGGTTAAATACTCAAGTCAGAGCTAGCCCGTAAGAAACCAAGCAAACGACCAACAGCTTCATAATTAATATAGCGTCTCTGTGTGTTATTTGGGGGCTCACACAGCTCGGTGACAGGGCCCAGGTGGCTGGTGGGAAGAGTACACGTTACACTTGCCTCTCCCCAGATAAATGTAATTTTAAAGAATGTTTCACACTGTACCACCTTCAGAGACTATTCAGACTCACTGGGCATCCATTATTGCTTTTGTGTCCTAGAGTCAAGGGGGGGACGACAGGACAGACGGACTTCTGAACATTTAACGACACAAACACACCTTTAGCACCTGGTGCAATACACTTTCCAGTGCTTCTTCTATCTCTTTGGAGCATCTCCACCTCCCGGGGTGGAGGAAACTTTTATTTTTAAAAATAAAATTCGAATCGTAACTGAGAGTGCTGCTCAGTGATAGAGGGCTTGGCTAGCACACCATGTGTGTGGCGGGTGGTGAGGGTGGGCAGTTCAATCCTCTGATAGGGTGGGTCCAGTCAAGCTATGCAAGTCTGTTCTGTTTAACATCCAGGGTGGAAAGAGGGTTCGGGGACAACACCCTTGCCTCTGCTCCTTTAAAGGCCCCGAGGCAACGTTTCCTCAAAAGACTTAACCTGTTTTCGAGATGACCGGGGCCCATTATAAGCCTCTGTTGAGCGAGCATCACACAGCTTTCTCTGCTGTATCTGTGATGCCCACTTCATAGATCCGAAACCCAAAGCTCCAGGAGACGCCTGCCTCACAAAGACTAGACACGAACTCATGCCAAGGTCTCAATCACTGTGTCTGCCCCATGGTGCACTGGCTTTCCGACCCCGCCCCCCCGCCCCACTTTCTCGTGGAATAACAAGTGAAAATTATCGTCCGACTCGGGCAGTGAAAGGAGAGTCGGTGGAGAATCCTGAGCTGAACGCCAGTTTTAAAGTTCACGTGCTGTGCCAAGGAGCCCTCCTGGGCAGCAGACTAGCAAGGTGCGCTTTCTCGCAGCCCAGGGTCATAAATACTGTTTCCTTGGTAACTCCCCTGCCCGAGGCTAGCAGGCCATGTTTCACCGGTGCTCCAAGCCCTTCCTCTAGCTGGGCAGCAGAGTGGATTAGCTCCAGCAGCCTCTTGGGGACTGCCTTGGAGCCACCCGGACCTGGGGCGTCCAAGCCCTTGGCCTTCGTCCAGAGTGACTGTGGGGATGTCCAGATCATGCTGTAAGCATCTCGGCACCAAGGATGCCCAGGAAGGCTGCTGTGGCCAGTCTTCACTCCTGCCGACTCACTAGAGTGGGCAGAGCACTGGACCGCAGGAGTCAACCCTGAACAGAGAGAGTAGGGATCCTGCTTGCCTGGTCCAGAGATGTAGGCGTCTGCTCTTTTAACCTTTGATCACCGGCTAGCCAAGCACTTAGGCTTGGGTTTCACGGCGAATGTTCCTGGTCTGAAATCAAATGGGGCATCCAGAGCTCCTTAAGACTTTTTTCCAGGCAGTGGTGGCCCACGCCTTTAATCCCAGCACTCGGGAGGCAGAGGCAGGAGGATCTCTGTGAGCTAGTTCCAGGACAGCCACCGAAACCACAGAGAAACCCTGTATCGAAAAACAAAAACAACAGCAGAAAAAAAAAGACTTTTTTTTCCTCTGAGAAAGTCAATGTTCCCCCACCCCCACTCCCACCCCTGGCCCAGGATGCCCCTAGCCCAAGCCAAGGATTCCCTCAGTCTCACTTGCTTGCAAACGCAAGGGCACTTCTTGCTCTGTGTTTAAAAAGCCCCGTACAAGCAGGCACTCCCAGGGCTGCTCACAGAAAGCTTTAAAATTAAGCCAAGCACAAGGCACCTACTCCAGTCAAGGC